GGGCTTTATCCCAAAATGTACATCAGCTCTCTGGCCCTCACGAAGTGCTGTTTCTGTCTCCTAAAAAAGCATCTGCTCCCTCCATCCCTGCAGAGAACTGAGAGGTTGGAGTGATATTGGAAGGAACACATCCTGTAACAGCAAACCAGAAAGATTCCCCATCTGTGAGGAGGTACCGGGGGAGAGTGAGCACAAAAGATAGGGAAGGAGGGGGAACAGCCTACAGATGCTGTGGGGTTTGGTGCAGGGGTTTGAGGTTGACAGCCTGGGGTGACAGCCTGGCTTTCGGGTGACTTACTCTGTGGTTTGTCACAAGGGGGAACACCTTGTCTGTCACTCCTGAATTACACTTCTGCAGTGCTTCCCAGTTCTTGGAAGAGCTCCCAGTCCTCCTCAGTCAACAGACTTCAGAAGTAACCATGAGTAGTGTCATCCCAGAAAACTAATGGAGCTGAATGAAATACGGTGGGTTTATGATCTGAGGGGTCTGGGGAGTAAGAAGTGAAGCAGTAAACAGAAACTCCTCAGTTTTGGGAAAAGGATTAGGGCACTTCCTTACCCCTGGCTAAATGCAGTCAGTAGGATGATGCAGTGGGATCCCATGGGAACACGTGCTGCACAGATGTGACAGGCAGGAAGAGCTGCATGGAGTACTCGAGATACTGTTTGTGGGTGTTATACTCCCAGTATAAAGCTCCTGATGTGCCTCCACATCCGTCTGCAAAACTCCAGAAAAGTAGCGGAGAAATTTTTGTTCAAAATTTTTCCTTTTCAAGGGGTATCAAATGCCCTGGAAAAACAGTGGAAAAGATCTGTTAGTTGGTTGGCCAGATCCTGGTTTACTTGTTTTCATTCCATGTCTGTGATTTGCTGCTGTTTGACCCATGGCAGTGTGTGAGCATCACTGGGGCTGGCTTGGCAGAGCCTGTGCTGAGCCTGCTCTAAAGAGCACTTGGAGTTAAGTGAAAGCTTAGCTCAAGGTTCACCAGTAAACAGTGTTGCTTTTTTATGTAATCTCTGATTTTAAAACCTAAACTACCTTGGGCTGCCCTACACCAAGAAGCATCAGCGATCCAAGCTGTGCTTTGGGGTTTATTTCCACATGTATTGAACTGCCCCAGTACCAGCAAACCCCATGCAGTTCAGTGTCACAGAGATTGTTCTGCAGAAGGGAAGAGGTGAGGGGAGGTTGTTTCCTCTGAAGGCTGGAGAAGCCTGACCCATAAATTTTTGACTCAGAGGTGCTGAGCTGTTCCCAGAGTGTAAAATGGCTCAGTTTGCAGCTCGTGGGGTCTAACAGAGAGGAGGATGGATGCCCTCAACCAGTCAGCCCCAGCCAACTCGTTACACAACCTCAGCCCATCCAGTGCCTTGCAAAAGTCTGACAGGGGAATGGGCAGGGCTCGAGGAATACTGTGGCAGCTTGGAAAGGCTGATACATATTTAGGAGGATAATCCAGAGAAAACACAACCATGAATAAAATTCCAATTAGAAGATGAAATACTTTCTGCTTGGGCATGAAAGTTACGGTTCAGCATTTTGATGCTTCTCCATCATTTTGTTCCAGATTTGGAGTTGCAAGTTGCTAATCTGCTCCATTTTGGGCTGAACGAATATTACCTGAGAATTAGTCTCGAATTTAGGAAGTGATTCAGTTCTGGGAAGGCACACGTAGCATCATCATCTCTGCGAGCCTCACGTGTGCTGCCGGAGCTGCTGCTCCGTGTGGCAGGGCTGGGGAGGGCCCTGACCTTGCAGTGCGGTTGCTTTGCTCGCCACAACTGCACAGGGATGGCTCGGGGAGCTCTGGAGCTGCTGAGCAGGAGCTCCAAGGTCCGGCCCATCTCGGCGGGGTGAGGTAAATGTGCTGAGCAGCACAGAATCTCCGTCACTCCTGCGCTTCCCGGCGAGGACTGACCCAGCTCCAGCCCCGGCACGACCGGCTGGAGCTCTGCTGGTGCTGCACCTCCTCCGCAAAGGGACTGTCACAGCTCCACCTGGGTGTTTGATTTTATTTATCCACGGCCCGCGGAACAATGAAGTCAGAGGTAGGTGAATGATGCAGTGCAGAAGTTGCTGCAGCAGGAGCTTCGCTACGGAGATGATTTAATGTATCATGATTTAATGTATCGGGCTGACGGCGGAGGGAATATTAATAAATTCTGTTTGTGCACGTATTGGGCTGGGGGGGGGGCAAAACAAGGCGTTGTGGGTGCAGCAGATGACATTTTCTAATTAAACAGCTTTCTGTTCTGCCTGAAGTAGTCATGTACAAAGGTTTTGCTTCCCTGCTGATGATAGAAACCCAGGCTTTTCAAGGCAGAGCTATCCATTTAACTTGCTGGAAATAAGGGAATGTCGTGTTTCATCCTTAGAAATGCATATCAAGTTCTCAGCAGAAAAATAAGGATGTTAATCATCGCAGCTGATGTGCTGTGTTATGTAGATTGCTCGCATTGATTCCGGGCTGTGGGTTCAGGTTTCTTATTTGCATTTCGTCAGTCAAGCCCGTGCCCACCCTGAATCCCTTCGGGTGAATTTCTGGTGATTTTGTTGCTGGATGTATTTATTCCTCTTTGTGTATCTGCTTTTAAATAAATCACCAGAACAATAAACAATGCTACAGCAGAGGGAGCAGAATGTTTGGGGAGGCGAAACCCTTCTGTTCCATCGCTGCAATCGATGCAGTTGGGAAAGGAGGGGTTTATGCAAACCATGAGTGTGTTCCAGGGTTATAAAAAATCAATCTCCTGGCTGTGTTGTCCATAGGAAGGTGTGGATTCATGGGACACACATGTGAATAGATTCTCAGCAGAGTTCCCCAAGCACAGCCCATGCACTGGCCTGGGTCTGGAGGTGTTCTGTGCTTATATAAGGGCTGGCTGGCAGTTAGGGGGTTGAGTTTGGTTTTTTATATCTTAGTATTTGTAAGGCATTTCTTGGGCTTAATGTATTTTTTACAACAACTTTGTTAATACCTGTCAGGGTCGTTGGGTTTAAAAGATATTCGATTAATGACAGTAGATTGATATATTTTTATTTTAATGTGGTATTAATTGGTGCTGGTTTTCCCAAGTACCAGTTATTCAAAACCGCTTTGGGTTTGGTTTGACCGTGTTCCCTCAAAGCTACGGAGTGGTTGGAACAAGGGAAGCAGAAATCGGAGCTGCCACCAGCACCAGGGCAGGAAGTTGCAAGATTCCCATGTAAAAACCAAAGGTCTCAGATGAGCTGCTTCTCAAAAAGTCGTAGAAGCACAGTTGATGCTTTTAGGCTTTGCACAGCTGTTTGGTTTGGAGACAGTGGGCTTATGGAGCTTTTAATTTCTACAAACAGCTGGAAGTAAAGGGCTGAAAAATACACTGAAGTCATAAGCTGAGTTAAAATTCACAGCCAGAGTGCTGTTTTATGGGAATTCTTATAAACAGAATGAGAAGTACCTTGACTTGTCATATGCTCATTGATATGAATGTCAGCAGTGTTTCTGTGCTGTGGAATAGGGATGGGATGAAAACAGTGAATTTGGACCTACATTTTGTACACTGTGAAGGTCCCCTGGTCAACAGATTTGGGGGGTGAAATGAGATCAGCATCGAAATCCAGAGTGTCTTTAAGCAGACTGAGAGGTGCCAGTGGTGTGGCAGCGGTGCAGCACAGGGTGTTTGGGGGTGAGACACTGTCACTTTGAGAAGGTCACAGGCACGGACACTCAGCCTGGCTTCTTCAACTCCAGACTCTTCTGTTCTCCCATGTTCTGCCAGGCCTTGTGTGTGGCCCAGCACAGCTGAGGAGGAATGTGGGGCTCTCTCCTTTTCCCCAGCCCAGTCCGTGCTGGGCTCCTGAGGAATGGGCCACCCATCTCACCCACGTGCAACACCCATGGGTCCAGCCACCAAGGGAGAAACTCTGCTTCCTGCTTTTGTAAGTGCTTGAGGAAGAGAAAAATACTACTGTATATATCATTAAAATGACTTTTTCTGTCACTAAATTATCATTTAGGTTTAAACATGATACCGTTGGAAAGTAGTAATCTACGAGGGTTTTTTCCTAATTCTTTTTGTTTCTGAAATAAATAAGTTCACACAGGTTTCTACCTCAGTTAAATGGAATAGGAAATACTGGTTTGCAGCTGAAGAAAAACTATAGGTTTTGAATTTATATTTGCATATAATTAGAATTGCAGTACTTGTGCTTGTAGTTATATCTGTGGTCAGATGCCTGAAGATTCAGAGCCTTTCCAGGCATGGTTTTGGCTTCCCTGTAGCCTGGACATTAGGGATTGTGCACATTGGGCGTGAAAGGTTGGCATTCTGTACACAAATTGAGGGGGGATTTGGGGGACTTAAGTCCTTCTGGGTGAAGTCCTTATTTTGTGGAGAGCAGAGAGACAAGGCACGTCTCATTCCCGGTGCAGTCGTGCTCCGTGTGCCGGAGGGACTCCAGTAAGAGGGAATGTCCCCGTGCTGAGCAGCAGCACAGCCATAAACCCTCATTTGCACAGACACAGCTGCCAGTGGGAGACAGTCTGGGTGAAGGGCAAACGGTGCATCAGCAGCTGCCTGAGGCTGGGGCACCTTTGCATTGCTCTACCAACAAATTCAGCTTGTTTTTAATGTGTTTAACACTAGTGGTGAGCAGGCAGGGCTCTGAGGAGGATGCTCAGCATCTCTGATGCTCCTGTGCTGCTGGAACAAAAGAAGCTCACGCTGGGGAACACTGGGGGTGAGGCTGGGACTGTGCAGGGGATTTCTGGTGGGCAGCAGGGGTTATCTAGGGGGTATTCCATGGACAGCCCTCATTTTTTAAGACTCTTCCCAGTGAACAGCAACACTGTCACAGTAAGAAATGCATCCTCAGCAAGGACAGCCAGAAGTTTTGGTGACATGGAGGCAGCAGGAGTTTAAACAGGTGCATTATGCAGATGTAGTGTTGGTCTCCCAATGCTGTGACATTACTTCTTCCCCAGCCTTCAGTGAACTGAAAAGCTTCAGAAGGAAGCTCACATTTTCCAGGAGAGAATTTTTATTCAGGAGGAAAAAATTGCAGGCAAGTTGGATCTTCTTTTGAGACTTCTCCCAGGCAGAAGCCACTGCATTTGTTAGAGGGGACTCCTTCAGGAGCAGAAACTTCAGATTTGCCGAAGCATGGAAGGTTACCAGGCTGCTGTGATGTGCCCATTGGAAAACTAAGTCACTTCCTGAAGCATGAGAATGGAGATGAAAGGAAAAACCTCAACTTTTTTAAAAAACTTGCTTTTCAGCAAGGCAAAACTGTATGTCTGTACCTCTTACAAAAAACTGCTTCCTCCTACAGCTACAGTCACCAAAGTGAAAAATCCTCCTGAAATTCAGTTTAACCCAGGCTCCTCATTCCTTTAGGTCTCTGGAAAAAAAATCACAGGCCTTGTACATGTGAAGACTGGGCAGATGGAGTTTAGGAAGAGTTTTAGCCACTTTGTTAGAAGTTTCCTAATTTGAGGAGTGGGAACATGAACCAAGCTGATGCTGTCCAAGGGGTGTAGTGGCCTTTTGTACTGGGAAGTGCTAATTTGGGTGCTGACAGTCACTACTCAGTGTAGTAGCATTCTGAGGTACTGGGTAGCATTCTGAGGATGTGGTTTGGCGGGGGAGGAGAGCTGAGCCTGCTGCTGTTGTTATCATATTTTCTGTTGTGATAGCTGGTAGATGTTCATCTGGAGCTGCAATGAGAACTCCTTCATATTTAATATCAGGCCTGAGGTGCCTGGGCCATAAACTTAAGGAAAATTAATTTCATGGACTCTGGATCAGATCCTTGATGAATTATCCTGGGTTTGTGGGGTTTGTTGTTTTTTGTTTTGTTCCATGAACATAAAAATAAACACATTAAATCAGAAATACTTAACTTTTTCTCCTCAAATCAGTTTTATAAACATTTGGTGATTTATATGCACAGCACAGGCACCCACAGTACAGATGCAAATGTCTTCATTTTTCCAGATGGAAAGACTGAGGGAGAGGAAGGCAGAGAGCGGTTTGTTCAGCTGCAGGGGAAAGTTGATCTTAGAGCAGAGTCAAATTCTAGAAACCCTCCTTGCAGTGCTGAGCTCTCCCAGCAGCCTGGGAGCATCAGGCAGTATCACTTCCATGTGCTTGATCAGTGAGACAGAGAAAGCAATGTTTCCAAGTGTGATTTGGTGTGTTTGGAGGTGCTGTGTACGTGACATCTGCAGAACATGGTGGCTGGCAAACATTTTTAGCTCCTTCGGGTGAAACCAGATCTCCAAGTGAGTTCCACTCAGAGTCTTGCAGGCAATGCTGAATCGACAGTGCAACTGAAATGGGTGTAATCACACATTATACACTACAGAGTATCTTGTAAAGCATCCTGCTTTTTACTTCTGTGTGTTATTCAAATACAGGGAAGCACAGCTGGGCTGCCTTGAACTCGCCATGATGAGCACAGCAATCAAAACAGCGGAAACAACTAATATTTACAGACACACAGGAAAATGATACTCATGAAAAGGCTTTTTCCCAGTCTTTTCCAGTTTTCCCAAGCGCTAGGCACTGCTGAAATCCACCCTGCAGAGGCAGAAAGCATCAGCAGCACAACTGTGATGCAGTTGGAGGGCAAAGGGGAGAAACCCAAACGTCTTGTGGGGTGAGGGGTTGGTTGTGATGACCTCTTTGGGCTGGATCTTGTGGGGTGAGGGGTTGGTTGTGATGACCTCTTCGGGCTGGAGGCAGATAGTTCCATACTGATGTTGTGCACTCCAACAGTATTTTGCTAAGATTCAAGCCAAGAATTGAATCAATTGAAGGAGTTTTGAAGGCAGCAATCAGCGGAGGAGAACACAGGGATCAAAGAATGTGCTGCAGAAAGTGGCCTGTTGTGCAGCCACATCTATTATGTTACTCAGAGTGAGCAATAAAGGGTGTTGGTTCAGCTGTGTGCCCCTTCCACAGGGCTCCATCCAGAGGATATTCTTGGATTCAGTTCCAAAAGAAGAAAAAAAAGTGTATAGCCTTTTAGACACTGCTCTCTTTTTCCTTGTTTGATTACTGCTGCCAAAGAGGGCTGGCCTCAGATGTGTTTCTTTCCAGCAAAGGGCCATAGGAAAATATTTACTGGTAACAAGACCTTACTATTGGATACTATCTGTAGGACACATTAGTATAACCATGATGTTTTGTATCTCTTGATTAAGATGATGAATGGACTGATGGAGAAATAAAACACCATTGTGTAATCAGCAACAGAAGTGGTGAGATGGGAAATGGGGAGGGGAGAGCGACACCCAGTTTGAAGTGTCTGAGCATAAGGCATTTGTAACCCAGGGAAGAGCTTATCTGGGCCATTATGCTCTTAAATCAGTGGCACACATGAATTTCAAAAGCATTGCTGGGGATCGGAGTGATGGGAACATGAGCCTGCTGATGGAAGGGTGGAAAGCTGGGTGGAAAGGAAACAAGCCAAAGAAAATAACTGCAGGGTTAAATTTCACTCTGCTCTCCTTCCCTCCTTTTCCCTTCCTGTTTGTGTGTTACTGTGAGTCCTGTTGTCATGGGACTCCTCTGTAATGCCATTTGTTTTGTCACTTCATCCCACCCTGAACTTTATACTCGCCACTGCTGCTTGCTTGGCTGCTCTGTTAATCTGCTCTCCTGCACCACGCTTCAGGAACTGGGATTCTGCTCGCCCAGCACAACCTCCCGCTGCCATCCAGCCCCCCTGCCCCTGCCCGAGCAGCACAGCATTCCCAGCCAGCTCCACACAACCTTTGCACCGGCGGGCAGGGGGATGAGGGGCCCAGGAACGTGCCCCGAGCGTGGCTTACCTGCCCAGGGAGGATGAGGAGGCTTTGTGTGCCAGGGAGAGGAGCCCTGGAGCAGAGGAATGCTGCAGGCTCCCAGTCTGGAGCCAGCTCTTCCCGTGGGATCAGCTGCTGTGGAGTGTGCAGCTCCCCGGGGTGGCTGTGCAGGACTGGCCGTGTCCCACTGCCAGCACAGCAGGCCCCGGAGCACAGACTCACCCTCCAGGCAGTGCTGAAGGGACCAGGGAACCCGTCCTGCCCGGCCCCTGCCCCCTGCTGCAGCCTCCGCAGCTCCGACAGCTCCGGTTTTGTCCTGTCCCCATTCCTGCAGGAGACCCAGCAAAAGCCCAGCCCCAGCTTTCCGTTCAGCCCTCACACCCGCTTCTTGGGATCAGATAAGGAAACCCACCGAGATTTATGAGCAACTTCTGTTTGGCTCCGGAGCTCAGCCATCAGTGGGAGTGAAAGGAGGAGCTGTCAGCTGGAGGAGAATACAAAGTATTAGTATGCAAAAGGAGCAAAACCCCAGCAATTCACATTGCTGCTGAGCTTTCTGCATCCTGCTACAAGCTGTTTGCTACAGCAGTGTCAGGTCTGGGAAGGCTGAAATAAAGCAAATGCCTGGTGTGCATGTTTGCATATCAATACCACAAGTGTTTGCTGGCTCCATCTGAGCAGAACAGAACCGGTGCTTGAGGTCGGGAGCACTATCAGGGCTTGAAACCCTTGTGCCTGCACTTAGTGTTCTGTTTGCTGTGCAAGCTTTTTGCTCTGGCAGGCTCCAGTTTTTTGTCTGAATGCTACAGCTTCCATACAGCATTCTGGGTACTGTTACATCATCCCTTTGCATATCCTTCTGCTCACAATAGCTGATCTGAACTGCTGTGCCCACTGAAAAAAGGTTTCAGCGCCCAGCAAAACATCCCAGCTGCTTCTGCCTCGATAAACTGGTTCCTGGAAGCCAAACAGGACATCTTGAAGAAATCCAGTTTGTGCACCAAACCAGCAGATGAGTGGAATTTTTTGTTTGTGTAGCTTTAGATTTTAATCAGATTGTGAACAACCAAGTTTGCCCCTTTATCCAGCCTTCCCAGTGCACTGGTGTCCATGTTCCCAAAACTGGCATTATTAACTGTTTTAGAAGCTCTCATGACTCCCGAAAGTATAAACTGCAGGTTACAGTGGAAGTGTGACAGTGGAGATATGTAAGAAGTTGCCTTTTATTAGTTTATTTGTTTCTGTTAGAAAACTATTTGTCTATAAAAGGGAAAGCAGCATTCAAACCCAAGATGAACACAATATTGAGATATATAGATGTAGATAGATAGATAGATATATTTCTGAAGGATGTCCTTGAGTGAATGTCCTAAGATCCAGTTTGGATCTTAGACTTTGGTATTAGAGTAGGACAAACTGTGGTGAGAAGACTTTCATTCTCTGAATGAAAGCTGGAGAACTGTGTTCCTTGATTTATCATTATGGTGCTGCTTTGTCTCCCTTATCAATTGCTCAGAATTCAGTGGATAAAACTGTATATAATGTTTGCTGCCTGGATTGACTAATACCTTGGCTGAACCAAAGCTGGGCTTTCTGATTCAAAGGGAGCTAAATCCCACTTTTGGGCTGATGTTTTGGAGAGCACAAAGCAGGTGCTGCACATGCCATGGTAAGAACATGGTCACAGGAACAGAAACCCAGTGCTGATGAAAGGGAACCACATCTGCTGGGAGCCAAATGGGACCTGACCAAACCTCATCTTAGACTCATCTTCCCCTTGCTTGTGAGCACAGTGCAACTGTGCTATTGAATAGATTTTATTTCCAGTTGCTTTTCCTATGGGAAAAACAAAACCACCAAAAAATGTGTGGGTATTTGAACATACAAGTGAGCCACCCTCTCAGGGTGTTTACCCAATCTTTTAAAATTTCACTTCCTCTGACATTTTTATTTATCTTGGCACGTAAATACTAAGCCAAGCTGTTTTCCCTTTCCTGAGCTCAGTGTTTTTAAAGGAAGCTGATGTTCAGCCTTGCTAAAGAATTTCAGAGCCCTTGAGAGGAGGACCGTGGATAAGAAGAACGATGCACATCTTGCAGGAATGTCCTCCCAAATTTTCTGCTGCTCACAACAAACTGAAAAAATCTCAACTCAGAAGGACCATGTGATGCCAATGCTGCAGGTCTTGTATGATTCAGGATAATATGATTACAGAAAGTTTAAAGGTTAGCCTATGTTCTGTAAATATATGATCTTATTATATGAATTTTCTTATCCTAAGCCTGTCTAGAATGGATGAAACAGCATTTCCAAGTGCTTCACAAGGCCTGTCATTATAGTGGAGGTTTCTTAGCAGCCTTGAAAGCATCTGAATTACTGTATAATGATATTCTGTCATCTCTTAGCAAGGCTCACACTCTAAACACTTTTACACACAATAGAAATTAAAATGGAATTGAGTAAATTCTGTCTCAAATTCACGGACTATGTAGTGATTGTCTGGGTGCTTTGGATTAAATATAGGCTCGTGTCTATTAGAGCTGGGTTACCTGGAGTAACAAATTGTAACATGTAAAATGGTAAAGTGTAAAATAGGTCAGATGTGGAGAATCAAATATTAACGCTTACTGTACACTTTTTTTTAAAGTCTGTGCTTCAGTCTATTCTTCAGAATATTGAAAAAGGAAGCTTTTTTACTGTAAATATATAATTTATTGAGTGAAAAAAATATTTGGCGTGCAATGAATTTTTCCTAAAAATTTACAAATATAGGAGGTTTGATGATGTTGGAGCCCTCTGCACATGAGCCATTTTCATGGTCCCATGATTCTTTGTTGATCTCAGTTTTCCAGCAGCCCATGAACTTTCTCAGGAGCTGTGGGATCTGTGGGATCACCTGAGGAAAATTCATTGGGATCATATAAGAAAACACAAGCAAAAGCAAGCATGTGCAGTTACCCTTTTCAGGGGGAAACAATGAGGTCACTGAGGGACATCAGAGAAAATATATCTTTGAATATGCAGCTCATCTATAGAAGCAGTTTCCTCTGTAGTTGCCTCCATGGACACCCCAGTGAGACATAAACCCAGTTTTATGTCCATCAGCCCCTGGGCTGAAAGATGCTTTGTCCTCCCCGGGTTTGTGCTGTCACTTCACACCTCGTCATGACTTCTCTCACTGTAGACTTTCAGAATCGAGTTCCCTGTGCCTGATCCTTCCCCTGAGGATGTTGCCTGTGTGGTTTTGGTATCAAGGACAGGCTCAAGCAACCACAGATGTGAGTGTGAGGGAGCCAAGTGAGAAGTGATGGATGCTGGCACTGCTTGGAACGTCATCCCTCCTTCTGTGGGGAGGTACCTGCAGAGAGGAGCTGGTTGTTCATCCTCCCATATCTCAGCAAAGCATCACTGCTCCCTGGGTGTGCCCAGAGGCAGCTACAGCACCCTCATGGTGGGTAAATGTCTCTGCTGACCTCTGTTTAGAACAATACCCAAGTGTACATTTGTTTCTCACACAACCAGATGGAATTTGAGGTGTGGGAGATGAAATATGAAGCTGGTGATTGAACTTTACAGCTCACAGCAGAACAGAAAACAGGGACATGTATCAAAGTGAAGAAATGCTCATGCTTTTCAAGCATATGAAGATATAACAGGATTTTTCTTGATGATCTTTGATAGCCAGCCAGCCAGCCACCTTAATTCATGGCTCACACAAACTGCTGAGCAGCAAACTTCAGCCTGCCTGGGGTGGTGGGTACTGGAACTTGCTGTACAGAGGTTTCTGTCTGCTCACTCTGTGCAGAGAATCCCCCCTCCTGAGGCACATTTCTGGTACCTTGGTGGCAAAAGTGGGCTGTTAGAAAGAGGAGGAGGAACTGTGCGTGGGTTTGGTCTGAGGAAGTAGGTCCCTCTGCAGAGGTCAGTTGGTCAAATGATGAGCTAGTCTAAGTCCTAAAGCCATCAGATACGATCTGTCAGGAGATGCAAAACTTATCATTCCTGCAGCAAGGGGAATTTAGACTGGCTGTGTGACATTTTGTGCTTTGTACCTCTGAATCTATTTTGTGACCAGTCTAAATACTAACAAAGTTAGTGAAATTCTGAGGTAATGCTGTGACCACCTCCCACAGTTAGCTAGAGCTCTTAAATGTGCATATGTGATCTTTCACAACTTAAAATTGGTGTGTTTTCATTCCTTCAGTTCTTAGAGGGAAAAATGCCTGACTGTTTTCATGCACCTGAACAGTTAATGAGAGCCTGCCTTGCCTGATTGTACCTGTCACAGCACTATTTCCCTAAGGATAGAGACACCAATTTGTGACTCTGTCCTGACAGCACAGAGCAGAGACTGCCTTGTATTGGTAATGTAAAAGAAATAAAGGCTTGTGGGCATGAAGTGAAATGGAAATACTTGAGACTTACTGTTGAACTACTAAGCCCTTCCTGAGCATTTTGCCAGCTTTGGTCTGATTCTGACAGGTGCTCTGTCTGCAAGTGTTCTAGAGAATCAGAACTAATGGAAATTAATATTTTAATTGATCTTTTCAGTTGTGCAGAAATAACTAGATGGTCTCTGTTCCCTAAATAAGAATAGAAAAATGTGTGACCAAAGCTGGTCGCACAGCAGTCCTGTTCCAAATGATTGGATCACTGCAAAGAGCCTTCTTTCTTTAAATAACCACCCTATTAGCTGAAGAATGGTGGCACGGCTCTGGAAGGCATTTCTGTGACACTAAATTATGCCTGTGCAGTATCTAACTCCCTCCTCTGAACCTGACCTTCATCTGCCGGATTCTGACGGCCCCAACTTGAGAAACCCTCGCCGAACCCTGGGTGAGGTCAAGCCTGGCCAGCTGAGGTACTTTATATAATGCCTTCTGTGACCAGGCCTCTCTGATCCCGAAATAGCAGGTTTGCTGTCCCCAGACAGCTGGTGGGACGTTGGTGAGCACACTGTGAGGCAGCACAGCCACGGCAACCCTTGCGTAAGGGCACGTTTTTTTGGCTGTGCTTGTGTGAAGAAACCACAGAGGCTGTTGGCTGTTGAATAGGTGCTTTATTTGTAGGAAGGCGTTTGTGTTGCACACTGAAATCCTTTGGTGGTGTCCTGGCAAAGGACAGCAGCTCTGGTGCTCCCCCAGCCCTGGGACAGCCTGGCAGAGCACAGAGAGCTGCCCCGGCCTCACCGGGGAGGTGGAGCTGCCCCTGGTCAGCAGAGGCTTCACAGGGTTCTGCCCGAGGGTCGTCTTCTCCCTTCATCTGCAGGGCTGACTCCTACACTAGACAATTTTAATCCACCCTTCCCCCCCCAGTGACACAGTTCCCTTGTCAGGGTGGAGGAGCCAGCGGGCAGTTCCCCCTCAGTGCAGTGTCCATTTTAGCTCCTGACATGTGCTTTGCTTGCCAAGACTCTTTCTGTACCAATCAAGAAGGGTTTCTTTGTGGGAAAATATCCGTTTTGTTTGGCTGCCAGAGTGCTGCACATTTATGGACCTTTAAATTAAGAGGAAGGAACTTTGGGTTGGAATAACCTGTTTATTTCTTATTATACAGTTCTGAAACAGGACTAGAAGTTGGACTTGATGATCCTCGTGGGTCCCTTCCAGCTTAACATATTCTGTGATTCTGTGACTTTACAAAAGCTGGTTTGGTCCTTCTCTACAAGGTTCCATAAACTTCCTTAGAGGACTGGAAATGCATTTTTCTAATAACTGAATCTCTTTTTCTATTCATTTTTATCACCAAAAAAAAAAAAAAAAGAAGAGAGA